CCTCATGTTGCCCGTCTTCTCAGCGATGTCAAGGAGGACGGGGATGGTGTCGTTCTTGCCCCCGCTCAGGTTGAGCAGCGCCTTGGGCAGGCAGGTCTTCCCCGTGGAGGGCTCTGCAATGGGAGGGTGCTGAGGAGGATTCGGGACCAGCCCCCGTGGCCACGGGGGTGCCTAATTCCACACCCTGCACTCCCTGGACAAATCCCTGGCTTCTCCCACGCCCTGCACGTCACAGCTTCCCGTGTCCGGGCTGCGCGTCGCCATCCCCCCAGGAATACAGGGATCAGCAGGGGCATGGCACAGCTCACCTCGGAACTCCTCGTCTGTGAGGCGCTTCTTGTGGGTGAGGAGGAAGGAGAGGAGCCCGTCCAGGCCGGCCGGGGACCCCCGGGAAACGATGTCGAAGAGAATGGGTCTGTTGAAGACCTTGAGGACAGGGGGCGGGTTGGGAGCCGGCCCCTTTGCCGGTGCCTGCTTCCTGTGGGAGAAACCCCAGCGTTAGGAACTGGAACCGCTGCCTCGGCTTCCCACCACTGCAGTGAGCTGGAGCCTGAGCAGCTGGGCACAGGCACCTGGGGACACACCGGGGACACCCCCTGGCTGGGGTCACCCCCGGGGCCGGGGCAGCCTCCGCACCCACAGCAGCCCCGTGCTCCCGGCATCGCCCACGGGAGGTGGTGGGCGCCTTGCCGGCTCCCACCGGTGCTACAGCACTTTGGGTCCCCAGCTGTGCCCCCCAGCAGGGACGGGCCGCGGGTTTGGTCACACTCCAGCACCACGGGCGAAGCTAAACCGGTCGGAGCAGTTGGCAGCAGCGGGATGGACTGGGGACAACCGGTCAGCTCCGGGCACCGGGAATTGGGTCAGGAGGGACGGCGGCTGCCCCAGAGAGGGATCCCCAGGCTGAGGGCTCACGAGGCATCCCGGCCCCCCTCCACCCACCTCCACGGGAGGACATCCTGCTGTCCCTGCCTGCTGCACCCCTGGGTGGGGACACTGGCGGGGGGCCACGGTGGCCGCCCCAGGTGCCCGGCACAGAGGAGCATTGTGCGTCCGGCCGCGGGCTGCCCCCCCCGGCTCCGGTTTCCTGGCGCGGGCAGGGCGGAGGCCCTCCTGAAAAGCCCTTTCATGCCGGAGCCAGACGGCCGCACCGGCCAGGGGAGCGGCCGGGCGCACAGAGCCTCTTTCATGGCGCCGGTAAGGGGGAAGGGGGCGCGCTCCACCGCTCCCGGCCCCAGTGGTAAGGCTGCAGACCCTCATCACGGCATGGCACGGCATGGCACAGCCCAGCGCTGCCCCTGGGACTCACTGGGAGCTGCTCCCTGTTCGTGGCACCCCTGCCCAAGGCATCCCAAAGTGACACTCGAAGGGCTGTCCCCGCCCCCAGTTGCTGAGCATCTCCATACCCACCCGGGGGCCCGGACCCCAGAACCCCCCGCCGCACCGGGGGTCCCGTACTCACTCCGCGACCCTCCTGCGCCAGCGCTTGTTCTCGCTAGGATGGTGGCGGTAGGTACCGTAGTCGAAGAGGGAGTCCATGGGGGCTTTCTTGGGCGCGGGGACCACGGGGGACTCGTAGATGGTGGCCTCCAGTAGCTCCATGGGCTTCGGGGCGCCTTTCCGAAAGGCCCCGTGGAATTTCATGCGGAGGTTTTGCTTTCCATCCACCGCGCCGGGGGGTCCCCGCGCTGCCTCTGCGGGCGTCGGGGTGTCCTCGCTCTCGAACAGATTGGCCAGCGAGGAGAGCGGGAAGGAGTCGTTCTGGAGGGAGCCGTCCTCCCCCGCGCCCTCCCCGCCATCGCCCACAACAACTCGCGGGGGGTCCTCGGGGTCTGCCATGGTCCCCGAACCGCGGGACGGGCACGAGTGACCTGCCTGGGTGGCTGTGACCCCCGGTTCCTTCAAGAGAGCAGGAGACCTGCCAACGAAAACCCCAGTGTCAGCCCCTAAAGACCCTCCCCATTCTCTCCCCGGGACACCGAGCCCAGCGGCGGGGCAGGTCCCACACCCACCCTGGCAGCGGCTGGGGCCGGCGGGACTCCCTGTAACTCAGCGTCCCGGCTGGTCCTGTCTGTCCCTTGCTCTGCTCGGCACTCACCTACGCGGTTGCGGGGACCCCTCACGTCTGCAGGGTCCCCTCCGGCTGCGGCGCTGCCGCGTTGGGCGAGGGCGAGCCCGGCCCCGTTGCGGTCAGCCAGGGTGCAGCCCAGGACAGGGCACAGAGCAGACCCTGTGCACTTCGATCTGCCGCCCAAGGAAAGAAAACATTCCTTGGGATACTTCCCACGTCAAGGGAAGTATCCAGGGAAGCGCCCAGAGGCAGCGGGAGCTGCCACCGCAGCAGGGCTGGGAAAGGGGCCAGGGCTGCTCGCGATGCTCCACAGCTCCCGCCGCACTGGGGGGCTCTGTGGGACGCGGCTCTGGGCACTGGGAGGGGACAGACGCGGCACGGGGGGGCTGCAGCCCGCGGGAGGGCCGGAGCAGCGGTTGGGAGAAGAAATTACGGGTTTAGTTTGCCCAGAGGGACGTGGGGCTGAAGGAGAGCTGCACCACCAGCGCGGCCAGCAAAGCTCTGCGCTGTGCCACCGTGTCCTGCCCGCACATCCCTGCCCGCACGGACAGGTGACCGACCCCAGCGCTCCCCCAGCCCCGCTTTTCACCAAAACCCACCGGCAAACCCCGGCAGCGTTAGGGCTCGGCTCGCTCCTGCCCCCGGCGAGCTCAGCCCTCCCCGCGGGTCCCGGGACAGAAAAAGCAGCGGGAAACGTGTCATTTAGTGCTGGGCTACAGCTCTGTGCAACAAGCCACAGGGGCAGGCTGGGCCCTGCCGGGAGGGCAGCGCAGCTGGGAACGGTCTCGAATTCGGCATCGGGTCGCACAGCCGCGCCGGCAGCCCCGCGGTGCTCCCGTGGGAACGGGGGATAGGGGTGACAAACGGCCCCAAAACCCCGCAGCGACTGGGAAGGAGCTCAGGCAGCGGTCCCTTCTCCTCACCGCCCTGGGAGACACTCGACAGGGACAGTGCAGCCCTGGGGGACACCAAGCTGAGACGGTACAGCCCTCGGGGGGGTTGTCCCGGGGTAAGCCACGGTCACACGGTTTCTCCTCTTTGCTAGCTTTCCTGCCATCCCCAACTCTGCAAGAAATTCCACAAGCACCTGCCAAGGCCCGCAGGTCCCACATTCCGACCCCACGCAAACGGGCGGCCCGTGCATGGCCGGTTTGACCTTGGAACACGGAGAAGAGGGAATTGCCAAGCAACTGATCCTGCGGTCTGAGAATGGGGACGGAGCACCCGACCCCTCCGAGCTGCGCTGGGATCCGGGAAAGTGCAGCTTTAGGGAAAACCCGCACACGGCCGGACTGTCACACACCTGCTGTCACCGGCCAGGGCTGGAAGGTTGTGTGGGAAAAGAACGGCTCGGGGCAGGCACCGCCAGCCCAGGCACTTCCCCGGGCACGGCCGCTGCCAGGAAAGGTGCTGTCAGAGGGGTTTGATTTGGCCCGTTAGTTATTTGGGTTTGGAGTTCTCAGACTTCCTCACCTCATGGAATAACTGAGTCAGTGTGCAGCTCTTGCATCCAACACAAACCCCACCTGTGCTCCCACCTCTCCCCAGCTTCCCACCAAGGTACCTCCCAGCCGGACCAGTATCCCCAGTGAGTCCCCACTCCAGCCCACCACGGGGGCACGGACACTGTCGCCGACACCGGGATGTGCAGCAGGGACATGCCCTGGGCGGGCGGCAGGGATGGTGTCCCATGACATAAAAGTGTCCCTCAAACTGAAACCGGAAGGTCTCTGGTGGGAGTGAATCACTGAAACCACAGGAGGGTCATGCTGGCAATGCTTATCCGGAGTGATGCAGACACTTCATAAAGCCATACACACACCACTGAGGCCGTGCTTACCTGGGCGAGAACCGGGACCTTGGTGTGGGCAGCACTGGGGGTTCGGAGCCGGTGGGAACCCCCTCCTCAAAGCTCCCCCTGGGAACGCACCCGGCACCCCACCCTCAGAGCGTGAGCCCCCAAACTGTCCGGACACGTCAGGACCCCGCGGGGCCAGGAGGCCCTGCCCAGCTCAGCCCACGGCCCCGGCCTCACCTGGCGGCTCCATCCTGTCCCGGTCTCCGTGTGCTGCTCCAGAGGCTGCATCCTGCCCTGTGTCCCCCGGCCCGGGGGGCTTCATCCTGCTCCGGTCCCCGTGTCCCGGCCCGTCCCACCCTCGGCCGTGCCCCCCCTCTGCCCGCTCCCCCCGGTCCGTACCGCGAAGGGTCCCGCGGAGGGTCCCGTCGGCTCTGGCGCCGCCGAGTCTCCGCGGGGCCGGTCCCGGAGAGCTGCCCCTCCCCGGCCCGGCCCCGGCTCCAGCGGCGGGGGCGGCACCGGGACCCGCCCGCGGGATCGGCCCCCGCCCGCCCCTGCGGCCCCCGGCACCGGCTCGGCCCCGGGGGGAGCCCGGAACGGCCCCCCGGGAACACCCGCTACAAACCAGCCCCCAGGAACAGCCCTCCAAAATACCATCCCTGAAATAAACTCCCCTGGAACAAACTCCCTGAAACAACCCCCCCCCCACAAGGAACAGCTCCAAAACATCCTCCCCAAAACAGCTCCCTCAAGAACAGCCCCGAGACACCCTCCCCAAAATACTCTCGCTGACACAGCTTGCCCAGAACAGCCCCAAAACATCCTTCCAAAACAGACCCCGCAGGAACAGCCCACCTCAACACCCTCCTCAAACACCTTTCCCTAAAACAGCCCCTTCAGGAACAATCCCCTGAAACAGCCCCAAAACACCCTCCCCAAAACAGCACCCCAAACTCTCCCACAAACAGCCCTTCCTAGGCACAGTCCCCCCAAAAACCCTTGCACCAAAACAGCTCCCTCTAGAACAGCCCCAAAACACCCTGTGCAAAACAGCTTCCCCCAGGAACAGCCTCAAAGCACTCTCCCAAAACAACTTCCCCGGGGACAGCCCCAAATGAGCCTCCCAGGCCGTGGTACCGTCAGTTTTTATTGAGAGCTGCTCCTGCCCCATGCAGGGGATCGGCAGCGCCGAAGGCGAGGGGGCTCGTAAGGCACCGCAAACACCGCCGGGACAGAGCCGGCTGCCTCATCCCGGCGGAGGGACTCGCTCCAGTCCCTCTGCCAGCACCAGAGGAATTGGGGTCACCCGGAAAGTCATCGGTTCCTCTGCTCTGGGCATCATTCTGGATGATCCAGTGCCAATCGGCACCGGTGTGCCACGGGATCCGGGCGCAGTCCCAGTGCCAGGCAGGTCCCAGGTCGCATCAGCAGGATGCTGCCATCACCACACTTCATTCCCTGCCCCACTGGAGACAGGAATCCGGGAGCTGGGACTGGAAACACTTGGTTTTCCTCTTGGGAAATCCTACAGTGACACCCACAATTGTTTTATTGCCGTGTTCTTAATAGAAAATTAATGATTATTATTTTTTGGTTAGAAAACAGGTTATCCACTGCAGATCCAGACAGGAATCGAAGTCATCGGAGAGCCGGGAGCCACCCTGGCTGCCTCAGTGATGAAGCACAGGTAACAGCCATCACACCTGATTTAATCCATGCCAGTCCTCTGCCAGCTTTAGGCTTTGTAGCTCAGCTCAGCATTCATCTTCGTGTACATCTCATAAATGGCATCCAGGATCGGGGTGACCCTCGTGAGAAATTGATGGATTTTTTCTATGCTTTCCTCCTCCTTCACTTCTCTACCTTTCTCCAAGGCCTTCAGCAGATCAGATTTGTAGGGAAGAGCATAGACTGAGCCCTATAACACAGGGAGAAGGCATTAAGACTTCCACACACCCATGACACAGAGACCATGGGTTGGGTTGTGCCGTGGGGTCTCTGGACGCTCATCAGCACGTGGGAACAACCTCAGGGATGGCATTTGGATACTTGGAGCAGGGGGAGCGCTCACCGTGAAGAGCTTCTGCAGCATCCAGCCATGGTATTTCTTCAGTGCGATCTCATAAGCCTTCATGGCGTTCACTCGGATGAGGTTGGGATGCTCCTCATCCCGCTCGCCGTCAGAGATGCTCTGCAGCAACACCAGCATGAATTTCAGGCCCCTGGGGGAAGAGCAGAGATGTTGGAGTGGGGAAAGGGAGTGCTGCTTCCCAGCTTCCAGCCCTGTGTGTCCAAGCATCCCAAAAATCCCACAGTCTCAGCAGCGCATTGCAGCCCTTGCAGGGCTGGTGCCCGTCCCTGTGGGTGCAGCCAGGGAAGAGAGAGAGAAGGGCAGGATTGAGCTCCCCAGGAAGGAAAGGGACAGGATGGCCCCTGAGGAAGCACACAGGGATCTGTGTAGGATGGAGCCCTGTGGGGTAGCACATGGGGATTGGAGCAGGATGGATCCCCTGTGGGAGACATGGGGAGAAGGGCAGGATGGAGCCCTGAGGTGAGGCTGGGCCCAAGGGCTGAGCTGGGCAGGGCCAGGTTCAGCCCCATTGGGGTCCCCTGGCACCACAGGGTCCTGACCTGTCCGGACAATCCGAGAGCTCATACTCTGAGGCTGAGTTTTCACATGTGTTCCCAGGGGAGCTCGGAGAAGGCAGTTCCCAACAGCTGTGCTCCCCAAAACAGCCAGACCCCCCAGCTCAAGGGAGCAGCTCGGCCTACGCAACCTCCAGTCGGCATTCACCGTCTCCCCACGTGCTGGGACAGGGCCCGGAGCAGCTCCCAATGCCGTGAGTCACCTTTTCAACCACATCAGCGCAAGCGTCGCACCCGTCTTGGGCCAGGCTGAGCCGTGCAGCTCCTTCTCCACCTCCAGGATGTTCTGCAGCGTTTTGAACTTGGCAGGGTTGGAGTCATAAACGGCCCGGATTTTCTGAGGGCAGAGAAAGGGGTTGGCTCCCAGGAGCTGCCGAGCAGGGTGGCACCAGAGTGGAGAAACCCGGCGGCTGCTCATGGGGGTCTGGGCAGGAGCCCCGGGAATAAACATGACACTGAATGAGCCGCCACTGAGCCCGCAAGTCCCCGTGGGAAGAAGAACCCTTTGAAACACCTCCAGGTCCTGTCTCTCCAATCCCACAGCATCCCTGCCCAGGGGTTACCCCCCTCCAGAGCCCTCCTGAGCCCCTTCCTACCTTGATATTTCCAGTCAGGTCTGCTTTGACTGGCGAGTAGACGATGGGAGTCCCCAGGCAATCTATGGAAAGGTGGAGGGAAGATGCTTAGACGTTGGTGACAGAAGGAGACACACGAAGTCCCCTTAACCAACAGGTTTGATCTTATAAACAGCCTGGGCGCTGAGACACAAAGCCAGCGGGGCTGGGACGGGATCGTTGGGTTGCTGGCCCTTCGGACAGCCCTGCCACCCACTGCGGCCTCAGCAGCGACCTCCAACCCCCCCTCGGCTCCAGGACACAGCCCTGTCAGAACGTCCTGGAACAGCCTGACAGGCTCTGGACACGGCCCGTCCCCAGCCCGGCAGCCCCACGTCCTGCCCTTCCGGGGCTGCCACACAATAGCTGACATTGTGGAGGGCAGCGGGCACGCCGGGACACGAGGGCGGCCACGCCGACACCCATCCCATGTCCCGACACGGGTGGGATCCATGGCTGGCACGGGAGAGCCCCTGCCCCGGGCGGCGCCTCTGGATGGGGTGTTCCAGGACGCTCCCCAGCGGCGCTGCTCGGCGGGTTTGACGGGACCGTGATGCAACCCCGTCCCAGGCAGAGCAGCCAAGCCCGGGGTGAGCCCCTCGATGGGGCTGTGAACCAGGTAGAGGGGGTCACCACCCAAGATTGTGGAGGGGGGGGGCACCGCGGAGCAGCCGAGCTCGCAGCAGGCCTATCCCAGCCCGTACCTCCCAACCCCGTCTCACCGAAGAACGGCGGCAGGTGCGCCACGGCCTCCAGGAAGGGCAAGGTCTCGATCTGCTTGTCAGCCGGCAGCGGCTTGAACTCATGTTCCAGCAGCAGCGCCATGACCGGCGATATATCCCCTCGCCCAGCCTCCCCCTCACCGCTCCCCGGCTGAGGGGGCTCTGAGGGCAGCGGGGGCCGACTCGGCAGCGCGCCCACACCACGCTCCGCCCCCCTCCGCTCCGGCCAATGGCCGCGCACCGCCCATACGGGCGGTGCGCGGCCATTGGCCGGAGCGGAGGGGGGCGGGACTTGCTGCCCGATGAGGAGGCCACGCCCCCAGAGCCCCCTCAGCTGAGGGGAGAGGCGGAACTCACAACCCCGCTCTGCCCTGCCCGCGCTCCGTGTGCCGGGCGGGCCGCCCTGAATTATTTACGGGAGATGAATGTTTCATGGGGAGCAGATGGAAAACAAACCTCGGCGCGCGCGGGGGGCGGTTAAATACCTCAGTGGAAGGGGTTGGGTGGGAAAATGACACCGAGCGGGGGGGACACGGAGAGGTGAGGCGGGGGGAACGCGTGGGAGCGCAGGGAGGAGCAGCCCGTCCGCAGCGCGGGGAGGGATGTTTGCTGGCGACAGAGCCCCAAACGCGGTGTAATTACCGGTTATTCTGGAAAAACAGGTCGTGGGGCGATAGCGATCGGTAGTTCGAAGGGAGGGTGCGGGTACAAGGCGGGTGCGGGGAGCTGCTGCCACCGCTGTCCCCGATGCCACACAACCCCCACCCCGTGGTGCCTGGAACCCACCCCGGGATGCCCAGAGCTCATCCCGTGGTGCATTGAGCCCCTCTCGGGACGCCCGGAGTCCACCCCACGGTGCCCATCCTGTCCCAGCGTGCCCAGATCCCCTCCTGGGATGCCCGGAGTCCACCCCACGGTGCCCATCCTGTCCTGGGTCACCCAGCCCAGCTGGGCGACGCGCTGGTGCCAAGGCGGGCAGAGACAGAAACCTTTAACCCCTGGGATATTTACAGCGCCATAAACCCCGCGCGTCCGGGCGCTCCGACCCGGCACAGCGGCGCCTCCCCGGGCCCGGCTCGGGGGCCGCTTCTGCGCGTCCTGCGAGCGCTCTGGTCGCGGCGGCAACCGCCGGGTCGGATCGGCATGAGCATCCTCTCATCTCCCCCGTCCTTCCACCCTCGCCTCGCTCCGTCCCCGCCTCTCTCCATCCCGAGTCCCTCCCTCCGTCCCCGCCTCCCTCCCGTCCCGCGGAGCCCGTCTCGCCGCGTCCCTCGGCGCTGCCCGTAGCGCCGGGCGCGTTGCCGAGGCAGCGGGCGGCGATGTGGCTGCCGTGGGGCCGCAGCCCGGAGCGCCGGGCGGAGCGGCGGGAGCGGGAGGAGCGGAGCCGGCAGCAGTGGGAGCGCACCAGCCGCTCCTTCGCCCGCGCCGCCGTGTGCTGCTCCCGCCAGGCGCGCTGGAGCGAGCCCCGCGTTCTCCCGCGCAGGTACGGCCGGGGGGCCGGGCAGGGTGCCCGGGGGACCCCGGCGTCCCCCTGACACCCCGGTGTGCGGCAGCGCGGTGGCGGAGCGGCAGCAGGAGCGGCGGGAGCGGCTGGAGGAGCGGCGGGAGCGGCTGCGGCGGCTGCTGAGCGAGGAGGGGGAGGCGCTGGCGGCGGAGCTGCGGGAGCGGCGGCGGGACGGGATGCGGAGCGAGGAGCCGCGGGACAGCCGCGAGGAGCGCAGGACCAAGGTGAGGGCGCGGCCCGACCGGGCTCGTCCTGCATCCCTCCCCGTGAAGGGCCGCTCCCGTGTTTCAGCTGTGCCGGCGGGACTTGCTAGGGGTCCCCAGGAGTTCCCCGCTGTTCAGCACTTGGTACTCTGAACCCTGGGGGGGTTGGGATGCTGAGCCTTCCCGTGTCCTGACCTGACCCAGCTCTCTGTTCCCAGGTTGCCGGGCAGCTGCTGCAGGAGCACTGGAAGGAAAACAATGCGGAGCTCCGGGAGGTGATGTTACTTTCCATTTAGTCCATGCTGCCTTAGACTTATTAAACTAGTTTTTAACTGGAAAGTCACTCACATTTTGTTATCACTCATATCACAGCAACTGCCTCAAGTTCATATAAGTAAAAGGCAAAGTGAAATTGTTTAACTGTGTAAGAAGCCCCCTCAAAGGTGGTATTTTTAAAAAGTCAGAAATCTGTTCACTCAGCGCAGGTTTTCAGATTCCACAATGTAAATATCTCAGGTGTTTTTTACAGCCGTTCCTGCCATGCTGTGGTACTTTCTTATTTTTCATTCCACCCACCTGCTGCTCCAGCCCTGTGGTCAGTGTCACACTGGTGTTTCCCATGTGACACTGACCCTCAGCTTGGGACCTGGTGGGCACTGTGGACACCCAGAGGAGCTCACCTCTGCAGAGGCACATCTTGCTGGGACTTCAGGGCTGTGGCTGGGCCAGATGGTGCTCCAGAGAGTCTGGAAGATCCCAGAGGACAGGAGAACCTCCGGCACTGATGGCCACACCACATCTGTTGTGTCTCCAGGCGGAGTCGCAGCTGCACAAGAAGCACGTGATAGAGGCCTGGGGTGATCAGCTAACAAATAAAAACAAGGTATGGAGGGGCAGCCCTGGCGTTTCTGTCAATGGGAGGACTCAGGCCTTTTGCCCTGACTGGCAGACATCTCGTCTTCCCATATGGACACAGCTCAGAGGCAGAAGGAACAGGCATTGCTGTTTGTTTGTTTTCTTTCAGTCTTGAATCAAATAATGACCAAGGGCATGGAGCTCATTCCCACAGCAGTAGAGTTCTGCAGGGAGGGAACTATTACCAAACCATCCAGCTTGCAGGAGGATGATTTGTGGATCTGAGCCAGAAGCTGTTTGTTTGCATTAGTCTAACCTGAGATGCTGTGTTTTCTTTTGGCTGGGAAAGGAAGAGGTGACTGAACTCGAAGAGAAGAAACGTTATGAAAACAAGTACGAAACAGCACGAAGGGAAGAGCTGGAAAGAGTGAGACAAGAGGAAGAGAAGCAGCAGCTGGAGAAGAATCAAGCAGAGATGTTGCTGCAGCAGATAGAAGAACTGAAATTGCAGGAGGCAGAGGTAATCTTAAGTTTTTCCTCATTTGAGGCAGGAATTCACTGCTTCACTTGGAAATACAGCAAGCTGACCTCTTCCTTCTGGGTTTGCACTGGATGAAATCTGGGATGAAGATTCTGTGACACAGTTTCTGCTGGTAGTGCAGACCTCTGTCTTGAATGCTGCCATATGGGCTGAACCTTTGTAGCTTGTTTGCTGCTCTTGAAGTGTTCAGGGAAGGCCCTGAAAGTGTTCAAGGCCAGGTTGGATGGGGCTTGGAGCAACCTGGTTTAGTGGAAGGTGTCCCTGCCCATGGCAGCAGGTTGGAACTGGATGATCTTTAAGGTCCCTTCCAACCCAAACCAGTCTGAGATTCTATGAAGTGCAAGCGCTGTTTTGTGCTGCATCAGATGAGAAAAGGATTTGTAGGAACTTCTAAGTGTGGCAGGCCCAGGTCAAAGGATTTGCCAGCTGGAGCTCCTCTGTGTCTCTATGCTGTGAGCCACAAGGCACGAATTAAATGAATGTGGAATACGACTGCAGGGGGGATTTTCCCTGCCTGCAGAGGAGCAGAATGGGGCACAAACTCTGGTCAAACAGGCTCTCTGGGATGTTGCAGCTCTCTGATGTACTCTGTCCTGGTGGTTGTTTTTATCTTTTTAGACAAAAAAGCTGAAAAAAGAAAAAGAGAATTTATTAAAGCAGCAGTGGGAGCTGGAGAACTTGGAAGAAGCAAGGAAACAAATGGAAGAGCACCGAAGGCAGAAAGACCTTGGGTATGACACCAAGTGGAGCTTGTTCTGGATAGAATCTGTTCCTGAGTCCACAGCAGTACTTGAGGCATGAGGAGATATTCCAGCTAGCAGTGGTAGGATGTAAATGTTTGGATTTTGATGGACTCACCCACAACAGCCACGGAGCAGATGCACTGGTGCCTTTTCTTCTTTTTGTTTGTTGCAGCAGGTTCCTCTGCTGTTTCTAAGTCATGTTGTCACACATGTACCTCCTTGAGTGCTGGTGTGGGCTTATAGAGTCAGTTTGAATGTTTGGTTTTTATTTTGCCTTTTTCTTTTCCCCTTCAGTCGCTTTTTGAGGCATCAGTGTTGTGCCCAGTTAAAGAGACGAGCGCAGCAGATACAGGAGGAGCTGGTAAGGGGTTGAATTATACTTTACTGTGTGGTGAAAAACCTTGCTCTGTGTGTTGTTTGTGTCTGCCTCCGATGTCTCCAGCTAATTAGTCAGGAGGCCCCTTCCAGCTTGTGCACAGCGCTGGGGCACAGAGCTCATGGGGAAGGAGCAGATGGAGCATCTTGCTGAGCCACCCTTGCCACTGTCACCAGTTATGCCTGGAGAGGAGCCCTGCACACGGGCTGGAAGCCTGCTGGACAGTTGTTAATCTTGTGGTTTTTCTCCAGGAGACAGACAGGCAAATCTTATCAGCCCTCCTCGAGAGAGAAAATGAGAATCACCTCCGGCAGTCGGGGCGTCAGGAACAGGCGGTGGCAGACGTGGCCTGGATGAAGCGTGTCATCGAGGAACAGCTCCAGCTGGAAAAGGAGAGGGAGGCAGAGCTAGAGACTCTTTTTACGTGAGTCTGTCCACCTCTGAACGTCCCCTGTGTGTGCCGAATGTTCCTGGCCAGAGGGCCTCAGAGGCAAAGGCTGGTGGACACACCAACTGCCTGAAGAGAACAAACATGAAGAGAAACCCAAATGCTTCTCTAAAGCACAGGGTAGCCCCTCTATGCCTGTGGAGTACACAGGGGTTTTAACCTCCTCTCTCCTTTAGGGAAGAAGCTAAAAAAGTGTGGGAGATGATGAAAGAAGAATGGGAAAGGGAGAAGGTGGCCAGAGATCATCTGATGAAAGAGGTGATGACCCTTCTTGATGAGGTTTCTCCCTTGTCACGATGAAACCGTTGTTGCAGTTGTAACCCTCCACCCTCCAGAGGGTCAGAGCCTTCTGTACCCAGGGCAGAATTTTTCTGCTTGTGTGATGTGTCTTCTGGGAACTGCTTAACCACCATCCCTCCATCCTCTGCCTTCACACAGGTCTTTGCAGGCAGACAGCACCAGATCCAAGAGAAGATCAAGTTAAACAGACGTGCCCAGGAAGAGACCCTGAAGTAT